TACTCGTGTTCATTTTTTTTTATTTGCTCCTTCGTTGCTCCTCTCTCTCTCTCTCTCTCTCTCTCTCTCTCTCTTTCTATCTATCTATCTATCTATCTATCTATCTATCTATCTATCTATCTATCTATCTATCTATTTCTATCTTTTTTTTTTTCTTTTTTTCTTTGTCTATCTCTGTCTCTTCTCGGCCTTTCTCTTACTTTTTTTTTTTCTATTCGTTATTTTTTTGATTCCTGAATTAAAGTTGGACTTTGTTGCCAGTTAGTCTTATTTCTGCAGGCGTGGCCCGCACCGCCCGCACCGCGGGCGCTTAGCTTGTATATATATATATATATCGTCACAAATAGATATATATATATATATATATATATATATATATATATATATATATATATATACTAGCAGAGGGGTAGGAGGAGGGGTAGGAGGAGGAGGAGAGACAGACAGACAGATAGACAGACATACAGGTGGAGGACAGACAGACGGGTGGAGGACAGACAGACAGACAGACAGACAGACAGACAGACAGACAGACAGACAGACAGACAGACAGACAGACAAACAGATAGACAGACAGGAGGGGGAGGACAGACAGACATACAGTACCACGAGAGGGGTAGGAGGGGTAGGAGGAGGGGTAGTAGGAGGAGGAGGAGACATACAGACAGACAGACAGGCGGAGGACAGACAGACAGACAGACAAACAGATAAACAGATAGACAGACAGAAAGACAGACAGACAGACAGACAGACAGATAGACAGACAAACAGGCAGACAGACAGACAGACAGAAAGACAAACAAACAGATGGACAGACAGGAGGGGGAGGACAGAGAGACTGACTGACAGACAGACAGACAGACAGAAAGGAGGGGGAGAACAAGTAGACAGACAGTACCACGGGAGGGGTAGGAGGAGGGGTAAGAGGAGGAGGAGGAGGGGTAGGAGGATGGGTAGGAGGAGGAGGAGGACGAAGATCATGATTGAGAGGAGGAGGACGAGATATGTCACTAAATACTGACTATATATATTATATATACATTATATATGTGTAAAAAAAAAAAAAAAAAAAGCGTACGCGTATGCTGGTTTTTGGGCACGTACGCGTACGCGCGCATACGTACGGGTATGCACCGCATACGCGTACGTGGTGCTACCCAGAAATAAAGTTTGAAAAAATAATAATTTTTTTCAGGCCCTGAAATAAAGGGAAAACAAAAAGTGAAAAGAGAAAAAAAACAAATTAGTAAGTGGAAAAGCAAGTTTTGACACTACCATCTTTGCCGAGTTTTCATTATTGTTTAGCTCCACAGAATGACTTCAAAATTGAGAGACAGGTAGCTTACTTAACAGAGAACTCACAAAAAACAAATCAGAAAAAAATAATAATTTTTAGGTACCAAAATAATTTTTTGCGGGGTCCGAACCCCTTCGAGTTTGGGCCCCATACGGGGACCCGAACGCCCGAATGTTCCGGGGTCAGCTTAGGGGCCTCCGTACGTTCGGCCTGG